AGGCAAGAATGCATGGTGGACCCCGAATTTGAATGGGGACTTGTGTTCGACGCTCACAGCAACCTCGACATCCAACGATCGCCGTTCTTCGACGCGGGATTTGATTCCAACGACGATATTGTTGGAGCCTACTTGGATCGGATCCTACCGACTCTCATAATCGTCATCGACAAACAACGTCTCGACTCCGAGTGGATCATTGACGGCCGGCCACCCGCTCCTCCACATCCGGCTTCTTTCCCGGCGACGAGTCCTCTCAAGATCACTTGTCTACTAGTAGCATCGCTAAGCCTACTTACGATTCTCCTCCGCTAGCCACCACTTTCAAAACGAGTGACGGACCTCAAGGTGAATGATCTATATCTTAAATTTGGGGCTTTGTTATAATTGGCTATTTGCATTACCTAGATCTTTGGTTATTATTTTGCAAGTTCTAGTAATCTCAACGTGTAATCTATTGATATTGCTTAATCTTTCAACGCTATATTCTTAAACTTTAACTTGAGCAAACAAAGAGTTATTTGGTAGCAAAGTAAAGTTCATCACTTCTATTAATATCTTAAGTGCAATTCGTGATTCACCGCATGTTGTTTCACATCATCCTGAATCTTTAAAAAGGATAGCACATCTTCCCTACAAAGTTTTGATGTATAAAATGTTTTGTTCTTGTAAATTTATGTTGTCTTTTAGGATTGTCTAACTGATAAAGGGTTTCATGCCTCATATTCCGAGTTTAGCTGAAATGGTGTCCTCTGCTTCACAATAGTAGAACGGATTTATTTTGTTCTTTTGCTAACGAAGCATTGCTATACCTTGCAGACTGAACAATCATTTCTGGAAACTGTACCGAACAAAGTTATATATGCATGTGTTAGACTGCTGTATATAATTTGTGGTAGTATCTCCCCCCCCCCCTCTCTCTCTCTCTCTCTCCCATTGACTCCCACTCTCTTTCCCTCGCTCCCTCTCTATCTCTCTCATGATTTAGTTGTTTAATTCAATGTTTAAAATTGCACAATTAGGTATTGAGATATTTTTTGTTAATGAGGCGAGGCGTGAGACTCAAAATATAAAATTGCATAAATTGCAAATAAATGCTAAAAGTGATTTTTTATATAATACTCAAATAATATGTTAAAAAATGACACTATGAAGTAAGACATTAACATACATATAAAACAAAATTTTGCACAAGAAATAAAGTGACTAATGATAAATTGTATGAAATATAATTGACATACAAATATTACACGAGCAAAAAAATATTAAATATAGAAATTGTATAAAAGTATCATATAACATTAAGTTCAACTCAAAATTCTTTTTTTTCTTAGTTCCCTACTCATATACATTTAATGTCTAAAAAAGGCTGAAATAGTTGACAACAACTAGAAAATCATATGTATTGTCATCACTGATGAGGTCTTTATTTGAGTCGTCATTATAACAAATTAATTTATCTCCTATCTCAACCTATGGAGTCCAATGCCTCCAAATATGCTTCTTCATTTATTGAAAGGTATCTTCCTCTTTCATTTTTTTTTATTAACATAAATATAAGATTAATACTCCAAAAATTTTAGAGGAGGTGGTGGTGGTGTATTTTTTTCTAGTGATCCTTGACAACGACTATGATAGTGGTAGTTGTGGTGAAGGCGACGTACTGGAGGTTGAGGTAGTTGAGAGGAAGTTGATACAACTTGGGGTGCATGAAGGTGTGATTTGTTTAGAACTTAGGATTTATGTAAGTTTAACATTTAAAATTAGAAATTCACCATTTTGCACTTAAAGCAGATGGTGGGGGGATGATAATAGACCCTATCAAAATCCCATGATTTCGTCATCCTAGGTCATCATGATCCATAGTCTACTTAATTAGAGGAGGTAGTCGACCCAACTTGACCGAAGGATCATTGTTAACAGCTATGGGTTGTTTCGTCCAAATGTACCTTGTGAACATGGGGTGAATATTTGTCTAAGGGGACATTTGATTCTACCGTAACTGATAAAGGGTTTTGTGTCATATCAATCATATCATATCGATTCATTATTCAAATATTTAACATCGTTGGGGAACATACGGGATCTGACCATGACCGTAATTTAGTTGTGCAATTTAGCGGCAAAACCACTATGTTAGAGGGCTATGGTCATAACCATTTACTTATGGTATCATTTGGTGGCAAGACCATCAATTAGGGGACACGTGCAACGTCCTTACATGAAAGAGATGATTTGAGAATGAATCTTTGTGATATTCTCGGCTAGACATTTGCTTTTTTTGAGCTGAACTGCAAACTTGCCCACCTTGGCAAACTGTTGCTAAGGGAGGATGGGTGTTTTTCTTTAAATATTTTTGCATTTTATTTCAATTTTAAATGATAATATTGTTCATGAATACATTAAAGTCAATTGAATGTATTTTATGGGAATTTGGATGCATTTTGAATAGGGTTCCCTCCGATTGAGATCTTTTGTGAACATGACAATTCTCGAGAATTTTGTGTAATCTTATTTTATTGGTCAGACCTTGTCGACTTTGTTTACTTGTAAACATAGGATCGAGTTGAACTCCTAATTAATAGAATTATTATGAGAATATCGGAACCCATGATATTCATTTTAATGTGTAAATTTTCTTAAGAGACCTTGAAGGTCTGATATGAACGTATAAAACCAAATATTTGAGTCGACGCTACGATTGTGTATTTGTTCAATGATTCAGGTCGTTTCGACTCTGTCTATTTGCTGACAAACGATCGGGCTTGAACTTAAGTTCATTTCTTGACCCGAGCAATATTCTTAGATGTCACGTGTGTTGCACATCACACTCATCGAGGCCCATGCGGGTATTCATACTTGTAGAATGGTTGTTGTATTTGGTATAGTGTGCATGATATATATATAGTGCTTATGCTTGCATGAATGACGTTGCAAATTTGCATGGCCGCCATAGTATATTCGTTCGATATTTTAATGAACTTGCATGATTGATATGATGCATTTGTATGATATAATTTTAGAATGCATTTATGTGTTGTCTGCATATTTGCATAACCCCTTTTTGTGGGTGGCTTAATGCATTTGTATAATGTATAATGTATTTGCAAGTCAATATGATGTACTATTATGACGCAATTCACTTCACATATTAGATGATGTGTTCGCATAATGTGTTTTGCATGTTGTAATGTATGTATGTGTAGTGTATTTGCATGTTAATGTGATGCGCTACTACAACATATTGCATCTTGCAATACTGAATGGCTTGCTTGAATGATATATTTTGCATGTTTTTTCTTTTTTTTTTAAATGTATTTTGCATGTTGTAATACATCTGGAAGGGCATTTTAAAGTGTTTGAACACTAATCAGCTGTGCAAATGATGGTCATCTAAGTGTGCGGAGTGTTCCATTTAGAAGTCTGTAGACGCATTCTGTCTGTGTGTATGAGTGTTGCAGATCTGATGGCGTTATTTAGCTTCGCGTTTAGTTTCATTTGTCGTGTATTGACAGTATTGTGTAGCTCATTTCATCATTGGCACTTTGTCAGTTTCTTCAGTGTCCAACTAGCAGAAGTGTACTTCTGCTGTGCGGATTGTTCCATTTAGTAGTCTGTAGACGCATTCTGTCTTCTTGTATGAGTGTTGCATATCTATTGGCGTTATTTAGCAGCGCGTTGAGTTTCATTTGTCGTGTACTGCCAGTATTGTGTAGCTCATTTCATCATTGGCATGTTGTCATTTTCTTCAGTGTCCAACCAGCAGAAGTGTACTTCTGCTGACAAATACGCTGTGCGGTGCGTAAGGAGCCTTTTGCATGTCGTTTGCAAATAAACTAATTTATCTGGCAAGACAACCCAATGCCACAAATTTACTATTTCAGTTTACCAATGGTTCGTAATTATTGTTGTAAATTCCCTGCCATTGCTTGCAAGTGGGTCATAACACTGCACTACATGCCATTTGCTACTTTACATAGGTAGGATGTCGCGCAATATAAACTTTTGTTGACTATTGGTGATTGTTCAAGAATCACTATTTGTCACATGTAGGTGGGCTACATTCTGCATAATTTCTCCAACATTGCCAATAAGCGGGTTGTAGTGTTGCGTGATGGGCCGCTCGTTGCTTCTTGTAAGCGAATTCTTGCGTAATACAAGCTTTATTGAATTTGTTTGTGCGCTGTCAGGGGACATTCCTTGTCATCTGCTTAACTCGTAGGCAGTCTGTTGCGCACTCAATAACTGTTATGTTATTACCCGTGAGTTGGTTGCATCAGGTGCAAGTCTTTCCATGTTGCTCGTAGGCAGGGTTGTTGTATGTGTTACAAGTTTGTATACCTTATCATAAACTTATTATTTTAACTCATACGCAAGCTACTACATGCATGACGAGCCTACCGCTGTTATCCTCCATGGTCAATCATATATATGATCTCTTATGCTCTTTCATTGGCCTGCTTGCGTTGGTTGTAAAGGCCTACAATCATTTTATCCCATGGGGTAGTGTGATTGTACCCTTTGCATTATGTTCCCCGCTAAGCAAAATCCTTTTGGAGACCCACATGTACCTGTGTGAAAGCTTGTAGTTTTTCCCTGCATGCATAGAAGCATGTACACGGGCACTTAAATCTTACATTGTCATGCTAAGAAAAACATGCATAAGGCTTACCCGCCTTGTCGCAACCACCATAATGAGTTTCCTCCCACCGAGATAAGAAAAGTGCGCATAGGTGGTTACTCATCGTGTTGTAAGCTCCGAAAATAGGATTTGAGAACTTTTTTGGAGTATGGAGGATTTATAGTTTGACGAGCAAGGCGGCGACGGCGTCAACGTCAAGGGCACGAGAATTGAGGCACAATAATTTCCCTTTTTCTTTCTTTACTCTTTTTTTCTTCTTTTTAAACAACAATAATAATAATAATAATAATAATACTAACAGCAACAACAACATGGAAATTAGAGGTTGTTTAGGGGCTGATTTGGGGCTACTGTTAGAGGAGGTTGAGTGTAGTGTGCTGAGTTTGGAAGAAGAAGTGGTTTGGCTATAAGTTGTGTAGGTGTGATGTCTCCTGTGGATTGGAGTTGGGTTGTAGTAGGATTGGTTGGGTGCTGCCATGTAGGAATCGAGAGTTTTGTGAGTGAGAGAGTTGAGCTTGTGGTTTTCACATACATGGAATGTGATTTGGGTGAGTTCGGGTAAGAACTGCTCTTGGATTAGAATATGTAGGGTCAGATATAATAGATAGGAAGGTTGGATGGAGTAGGACCGGGCAAGTTACGGCTGGGGGGGGGAGTTCAACTGGGATTAGGCAGAGGTGGGATTGGAGGTGTCTGTGAGGATCGTGATTGGGAATACCGTGAGATTTGCAGCTTGTGTGAGAGCATACAGGAGTCTAATTGGAGAGGCGATCGGGCTCTGCAGCCTTCTTGTGGAAGCAGTGTAGTCAGTCGGCCTGCTGTGAGGAGTTGGGGGTGATTCGAACAAGTGAGGTCGTTGCTCACAGCTTGTAGAGGACGGTTGAGTGCGATAGGCTGATGGATCGATCGTGAAGGAGTTGGCTGAGAGTGGTCTACAGGTGGTTCGAACAGGGAGAGGGTCCGTGCTGGAGGTGTGCGATCGGGACCAACGTGAAGGAATTTTGTCGAAGGAGGCGCAAGTCGTGAGGAACAGTTCGCACTAAGTTGCGATCTGGAGAGAGCGGAAGGTCAGTGCAGGATTATTGGCTGGACTTGCACGGACCGCGTGCAGCTTGATTCAAAAGGAGCGGAGAGAATCGAGTGGTTAAGGTCGGGGGTCTTGCAGCTGTAGCTGGATTGGATGTGGAGGTGCTGTTTGGTTCGATTGTGAGGGAGGAGCGGTATTAGTTTGACCATTAGGGAGAAGGAGCGGTATTGGGAGTTGCTTGCGGGAGTATTTTGTGCAAGAGGGAGGAAATCACAGCGGAGAGAGCTTTTGCTCTTGTTTTAAAACGGGGCTGCTTGATCGAGACGAGCGTGAGATTTACGGGAATAGATGTGAGCAGCACCGAACAAACGGGATTTGATCAGGTAATTGATCCTGATAAGCAAGTGAAATACGTAGCATGCCGGTTAAAGGGAGGGGCTAGTGCTTGGTGGGAGCAAACGATCCAGTCTAGACGGCGAGAAGGGCGGAACCCAATCCGGTCGTGGTCACGAATGAAACAGCTCTTACGATCGCAATTTCTCCCAACCGACTACGAACAGATCCTGTATATGCGATACCAGCACTGCACTCAAGGCACAAGATCAGTAAGTGAATATACTGAAGAATTTATATTATAGTCACTTTAGATAACTCGGATGTTCCGAACGCAATGACGTAGTCTATTTTGTGATCGAATGTCGCATGAGCAGCATCGCATGTCATTTTTAGGTGTCGGTCGCTTATTTTGACTGATTTAGCTCGATTCGATTGCAAAGACTCCCTCTTACGTAAATTCGATGCTCCAATCGCAACAACACAGTCCGTTCGTTGATCGGAGGTTGTTTGACCACTTAAGTGACATGTTGCGCCTGCCAACCATCGCTTAAGTCGTCAAATTCACCTCTTTTTTGCGTTCTTAATGTATGGGTCAACAGTTACACCAACAATAAACCATCCAAAAAATTACATAGTTGCACTAAATAGTTCTCAAGTGCTATAAGGAAGAGAGTTCCACCTTTTCTGCATAATATGAAGAGCCCTTCTATGGCTAGAATCCATTCAAAAACAAACTAGTGATATGATATTGAACTAGATGTTGGTAAAGCATCTATTATTCCTCTTCTTCCAAATATGCCAAAGGGAAAATATTCCAAATATCTTTCTCACATTTCTTGATATGTAAGTCTCTCTATGAAGAAACTGTTGTCTTAAGACCAAAAAAGGGCATTAGAATCTCCAAAAAGATTGAGAAATCTCCTTCAAAATTTAGTTCGTGATTTTGTTGTCATGAAATTGTTTTGCTTCGTTGATTAATAAACTTGGTTACCAAATTGGGTGTCAAATCCCTTCCAATTTTGTGACCCTAGCAGAGATAGGCTTGCTATTGATTGGTCAAGTAATCATTGATGAAGCACTAGTAGTAAGTGGAGCCCCTAATTTTATCACTCTTACTCAATTAAAGCTAGGCATGCGGGCACAATTTAAAGAGATTTTACTATTGACTTTGGCTTTCCACATTAGCAGCGGTTCTGTAGTCTATGATTTTTTATTGTTGAAATTTGCGCTTTTGCTTTTCAATTTCTATATTCGCTGTCAACTTTGATGTGAAAACCAACAATTTCTTGTTCTCCTACAGGGTACAGTACTGTTCAACCAAATAAAGTTTACTACTGGCACTTGACTGGACTAATAATAATTGATCAGCCACTTGAGAGGAATTCTTTGTATGTGGAGGAACTATTTGAATACTCCCAACCCCCCAAAAGTGAGTCTCTACAGCTTTATCTGAAGAGGGATTTAGTTGGCTTTCAATAATAGCAGCATTTTTCATCAACTAATAAGTTTGCTTTAGTTATGCACCATGGCCTGCCATGCCTCCACATTACATTTGTCTACCTTGTTATATTCTGTAGGGGTGACTTGCTTGAAATTTAATTCCAACTGACTTAAATAATACATAATTACAATATATATATATATATGGTAATTATATATTTCTTGTGATATTTAAAAATTTCAATTAGAAATTTAATATTTTGTGAAAATTAAATCTAATCACATTTGCTAAGATTTAGGCTTCGTTTGGAACGGTTTTTTATTGCTTCTTAAAGCAGCTTTCTAGTACAAAAATTTTATTTTTTTGTACTAAAAAATCGCTTTAAGAAACAATAAGAAAGTCATTCCGAACTAAGCCTCAACTTTACTCATTATCTAATCAGTTAAAAACCTTAACATTTGTCGTGCTATTTAATGCACTCATTTCAGGTTTTGCTCCACTTTCTCCACTGCCCTTTATTACATGACTATTCAGCTTTCACCTTTTAAGAATTGCATTATATAATCAAATCACTAAACTGAGGAGCATCTTAAAACTGAAATTATAATGCTGAAACTAAAATATCACTAATTACAATGGAGAATGTGTCACAATTTCTATGAAGAAAATGTGCTGTGTTTTCCCAACTACATAAAATGCTTATACATCAGTTTATGCAGTATCAACTACTGCAAAATCATCAATGGTATACTTAACCTTGTCAAACCTTCCTTTCTCACTAATCACCTTAAATCTAATGTAATCTCCACAAAGAAATGGCCTGTAGATTCTCTCTTTCTCTACCACATCTGGTGCCACAATCATCTTCTCATCCTCAAAGCACCAAAAGAAAGCTAGGGAAAGCCTGTTGCTTGGCTTCCTCAATACAACCCTGTGTTGAGATGATCTAAATTTGCCATTGCTCCAAGCCTGTAACAAGTCTCCAATGTTTACAACCAATTCTCCTTCACTATACTTTATATCTATCCACTTCCCATCCTTTCCTTTCACCTGAAGTCCACCAACCTCATCTTGGTGCAAAATTGTTATGCAACTCATGTCTGTGTGCATTCCAAGACCTTCAACTGCTTCATACTCTACATTCCCGGGCGGCGAATAACTATTTATCCTTAAATATCCATGACACTGGCCGAACTCAGATTCATAGTACTTTGTGTCAAAACCATCACCCAAACACTTCAAGAGAATGATCATGATTTGTTTTGATAATTCCATCATCTTTTTTCCATACTCCTGCATTGTTTTGCTGTGTATAAGGAACATTACATATTTACATGTGAGAATTCATGCTGAATACTATTATGGTGTATAGACTAAGGCTTCGTTTGGGACGTCTTTCTTTCTGCTTCTTAAAGCAACTTTTTAGTACAACAATTAAAAATTTGTACTAAAAAATCGCTTTAAGAAGCAATAAGAAAGCCGTTCCAAGCGAAGCCTAAGATGATGAGCTAATTCTGCACTTACTAGAATTCAGGATTTGGTGCTTCAAAAAGGATATCACCTGACCTCTTTGCCGAGGAATAGTAATCTGGTCCAGAGACTCGAAGGCTCTCGAAAAACGGCGATGCGATGAAATGTGGAGTATAGGTCTTGAGAGAGGATGAGGGACCTAACTTTAGTTTGGTATCCAGTGGGAGATTCAAAATGTTTTTTGAAAACATACAAATTTTAGTGTACAGATCTTTGGAAATGCCATGGTTTTTTATGTGAAAGAATCCCCAATCCCTGCAAGCTTGGGAAAGTGTGGTTAGTGAAGAAGAGGTTAAGGGCTGAGATAGATCTATGAGAGGAAGCTGTAATGGGGTCTTTGTATAATCATCCATGGTTTTGTTAAGGAGATGGGAGGAGAAAGGTTAGTGTGTTTCTTGAGCCATCTTGATGTCTATATATAAGAGAGGGAAGTTCTTTTTATGTTAGCTAGCTTTACCAAACGAATCTGGAGCTTAGATGTAGGGCTGCAAGCGAACCAAGTGTTCGACGAGCTACTCGATGCTCGGTTCGATTAAAGCTCGTTTGTGATCGTTTAACTAACTAAACAAACAAACTTGAACAACATTTTAAATGCTCGACCCTCAAATAAACAAGCTTGAACACTAATGCATTCGGTTCGATCATTTATGTTCACGAATAACATCATTTGAAGTTCGTGAACAAGCTCGACATTAAGCTCGATAAAAGCTTGAATGGAGAGAAATGCAACATGTAAGCTTCATTTAAATAGATTAATCATATTTTCATTTTAAATAGACAACTGCTTTTACTATAAATTTAATTTTATGAACAAAAGACATTTTACATTTGTCTATATTTGCTAGATTGTTTGTTTAAGATGTTCATGAATAAATTTAATGTTTGTTTGTTCAATATAATGTTTGTTAAATATGTTCATGAACATAGCTCGTTAAGGCTTGTTTGTTTAAAGCTCGATAAGCATTAAACGAATCAAACATGAACCGAACATAAACACCCTTAGATTAAACGAACCAACAATGAAAACAAACAATAAAGCTCGAATCAAACATGAACCGAACTTGAACAAGCTAATGATAAATGAACTCAAACATGAACACTCGCATACTCGGCTCGGTTCGTTTGCAGCCCTACTTAGATGATTGTTCTCATTTAATTCCTTCCTAACACTGTCATTTTATGAAAAGAGGCTTTATGTAAAGTCAATTGGGAAAGCAATCAATATTTAGGTAAAAAAAAACGACTAGCGGCAGCCATTATAATTCATATCCAACTGCATGTGGTCTCTTGTTCTCGTAATGCAGTAACAGTTGTGCTTTTTGTTAGCTTCTTCAGGAAGCATTGCGCATACTTGGAAACTTAAAAAAACGTTCACGTCGCCAGTGTTATCTTCTTCTTCGCTAGCATCCATCGCCAACTTCAGTTGTCATCATCGTCAGGTCCGTCGCCAGCTTCCGTCCGTCGCCAGCATCTGTTATTTTCCCACGCTTGATTTCATTTTCCAGGCTGCAACGCATTCCGCGAGTTGCTTGACTAGCTCGTGAGTCGAGAGGAGGGTTATTCAAGCTCGAGCTCGATAAGCTGTCGAGCTTCATAAGCTGTATAGCTCGAAATCGTGTTTGAACTCGACTCGCTAACTTCCCCATCGAGCCTGTTGTGGAGTCAAGCTCAAGCTTGCTCGTGAGTCAGCTTGACTCAGTTGTACCCCTAGTGTGACCTCATGCTCAAGCTCTAGCAGCAACTCTAACTTTTTTCTAAGCATTAGATTAGATTTAGGCTTCATTAGAGATGGCTTTTAAGCGTTGCTTTTTGCTACTTTAAAAAAAAAAAATTGTACTAAAAAGTTGCTTTAGAAAGCATTGAAAAAACTAACCCAAATAAAACTTTAGGCTTGCTTTGAGACATCTTTCTTATTATTTTTTAAAACAAAAATGAAAAATTTATAGTTATAAATAATTTTTGTACTAAAAAGTTGTTTTAAAAAACAGGAAGAAAGCTTAAGTTTCATTTGAGACGTTTTTTTTATTACTTTTTATAGCTTCTTTTTAAAATAATTTTTTTTTAAAGCAGGAAAAAAAAGCATTGGTCTAAAGTTGTGGCAAACAAAACCTTAATTTTGTGCATTATATCAGTTTTAATGTCAGCTCAAAATTAGGATAAACACTCATTTTTATGAGCATGATAAGTGCTTGGAACTCGTGGGGCTAATAGGGTAGTGACACTTTTGGCTTTGGAGTGGCTAGGTGATAAATATTTGTTATCATTAAAATAGAATTTTGCTTTTCAAAACTCCATGAGACTAATAAATTAGCAAAACGAAATGAACTTAGAGTGTGCTAACTAAAGCTTAGGGGTGTCAATTCGCAACCCGCCGGGTCAACCCGAACCCGACCCGTTTTTCAAACGGGTCAAATATGCCAACCCGAACCCGACCCGTTTATCATACGGGTCGGGTCCAACCCGGATTTTCCGGGTCGGGTTTTCGGGTCGGGTCAAATATTGACACCCCTACTAAAGCTTCATTTGGGACGACTTTTTACTGCTTCTTGAAGTAGCGTTTTAGTATAAAAATTAAAATTTTTATACTAAAAAGCTGCTTCAAGAAGCAATAAAAAAATCGTCCCAAACGAAATCTAAATCAAGTCGCCTAATTTATTTGCTCAATATTTGGACATCCTTCTATTATCACTTAGCAAGCTAAAGAGCTGATCCAAAGCCTTGGCCAACTTAATGTAAAAGTTTGATATGGAGTGAGTCAAACTGAGGTTAGTTTGGGATGGCTTTTTAATTCATATCTAATGAAGTTGATGATCCATAAACCAAATTATGGCTTTAAGGTGTGGGTAACATATTAAGGCTTCGTTTGAGATGACTTTTTTATTACTTTTTAAAACATAATTTTAGTTAAAATTTTAAATGTACTAAATTTTTATTTTAAGAAGTATTAAAAAAGTCGTCCCAAATGAAGCCTAAAACAAGATATTAGCTGATGATTTGTTTGTGATGACTGTCTTATTTTATAAAATTAGTTGTGAAGTTGTTATAGAGAAATTAACTTAGTAACATTTCTAAAATTTTAAAAAGCAATAAGAAAATAAAAAAAATGTAGCCAAATAAAATTATGATTGTTAAAACAACGAAAAATTTGTCTTAAACAGACCTTATGTCTCTCAAAAATACTATGAAAAAGAAAGTCTCAGAATTTCAAATTTATATTAAAAGAAGAAAAAACAGAAGCTTTTAATACTAACAGCAAAGACTCGCTTGCAGTCAAATTTCAAAATATGGACTCCTTTAGTGGAGACTATTATATGCAGAGGTCCAACAATTGGAAACACAATTGAAATTTAGTTAGAATAGATTTTAAAATTACTACATTTATTTTAAAGAGTTAAGGGATCAAAATAATGTTTTAATATAGTTGGGGACCATTTTAGTTCTCCGTAAAGAATTAAGAGATCATTTTGATTTTTTTTTTTTTTTAATTTTATCTTAATAGGACACAATGATATATAGGCTTCAACCAAGAGCTTCAATCCCTAAGATCATACTTGAGCGCCAACCCACAAGAGCCAACTCAAGCTGCAAGTTCTGTGGGTGATAATTTTAACCTATTGCTTCTCTACTACTCCATGGTAAGGGCATCTCCAACCGAACTCCAAGCGCTTGAATGACGTCCCTGGCAAGCTCCAGCGGAACCGTAAATTTCCCGTTATTTGAGTGCGGGTGAACAGTGGGACACCAATATTGGCGTTGCACTGTTCATCTCCGCCATTTTCACCTCTTCACCGAACTTGCCGTGGGAAAAAAGAGGCCGACCGTTACATGCAAAAGTGTGAAAAGTGGAGTTCGATTGGAGATGAATCGCGGCATTTTATAGTTTCACGGCATTTTGGAGTGAAAAATGAGATTTTCGGTTGGAGATGCTCTAAGAGGACAACCTCAAAGGTGTGCGTGCCAATCAGGGTGGCTTAAATTTGTTGATTCTTTAGATGACGTGAATACCTAATCAACACTGTAGTTCAATATATCCTTCGTTTGAAGTAACTTTCTTACTGTTTTTTAAAACAGCTTTTTAGTACAAAATTTTTAATTTAGAAAAATTTTATAATGAAAAACTGCTTCAGAAAGCAATAAGAAAATTATTCCAAATAAAACATAAATCTTAAGATTATGCTCAGTAATTTAATTTATAAAAAAAATAAAGCATGGAATGAAAATAGTGTACTAATTTTTCTTCTCCCTTGTTTGTTTCTTATAACTGATAAATTCAGATGGAAATAAGTTTGATAAAAGTCTCATGTCAAGAAGGATTCGTTCCAGATTTCAGCACCCAAGAACAGTAAAATGACTAAAATCTGCATGAAAATCAATGTGGAGATTCCTGCTGGCAACGTGTTAATATTTGCCTCGTTTTATACCTTCTCACATTCAAACAAGTCATATAAAAATCCTATTTGCTAACGCTAAATTCTCTAAAACTACGGAAAAGTTATGGATTTGAAGCAGACTTTACCATGAATTATTTTTTTATCAGACGACGGATTTACGACGGAAATTTTTGATGATCTTTTTGCGATGAATTTTTTATGGAATTTCCACCACATATTTGTAGCGGAATTTGCGGTCACTATCCACCCAAGTTGAGTTATAATATAAATTTAAAAAATAGTGACAAAAACTATCCCAAATAAAGCCTAAGCATGACTACTTAAGAGCTTATTTAGCTAAATGTGATAAACTCTTGGAATAAATTAGTAAAGAACCATCTAAAAGAAAAATTATTAAAATCTTACAAATTTATATGAATGGTTAATTAACAAATAAATTAATAATAGTGATAACTGATTAATGAGTAATTTAGACTAATTACAAAATAATGAAGGTTTAATTAATTAAGCTCTATAATATTTTATATGTATTAATTATTATTAATTAATTAACCTAGCTAGGAGAATTCATAAATTTATTATTTACTTTGATAAATAAAGAATAATTATGATTATTAATTAGATGATTAAGGTTGTCTCACTATTAAGCTATGAGAAATTAATTCATTATTTAATTATTCATAATAATAAAAATTAATTAATTAGATTTAATAACATTTTTAATTAAAATAACTCTAACATATTTAAAAATTAAGTTTAAGATTATTTTAATTAGTTAATTTTAAACAATAATAGGAATACTTCAAGTCTAACTATAAATTATTACACAATTAATAATGAGTTAATTAAACAAATAATCTTCAACAAAAAACATAACAAAACAAGTTTCTAACACATTATCTCATCAGATTATCTTTTTTAATGAACTAATTAGCTTAAAAGCTTTGCTTAATTAGAATAATTGTTTCTTTTGCACCCACAGAATCTACCATTGAACGCCTATTCAATTTTTCTTCTTAGGTCAAAACATAATTATTTTTTGGTGCAGAGGCAAAATGCGACAAGTAACCTTTAATTGGACTGAAAATCTAACTTGTTTAACATGTTTAATATGATGATAATGAGAATATTAAATGGTACCCTGCATATGCCAGCTTTTAAAATGTTTAGCTATTATTATTATTTTTTAAATAAAAGATATTTGATATTTAAAAAATATTTTTTATGTGGTGAGGATGATGCTGGTCAGTGGTGGTAAAGCGTGGCGGTTATTAGTGGCAGAGGGTGGTCGATGGTGTTGGTCGATGGTAGCCAACGACTAGTGATGGGCAGCTATATTGAATAACGGTAGATGTAGCTGGTGGCTGACAATAATAATTATTTTTAAAAATAATTAAAACACCTAAAGTAATTTTAAATGATGAGATATTCATCTTTTTTCTTAAATATGCTATAGAAAAATCTAATATGGTCTTACCATACTCATTAGTCGCTTCAAATTCATAGTCACCTTGAATGATTTTAAAATCATGTAACTTTTTACCATCATGTTCATTTAAATCTCCCCCAATAAAAATTCTTTCTTCAAGAGGAATATTTTATATAATTAATTCTACTAAGTCATTCCAAGTTTTAATTTTAAACACATATCCAAACATACTTGAAGTGCATAATCACTTATAATATTAATAATCATAGCAACTATAATAATATTTAAAGTTATAATTTTATCTCCAATTTTATTAAAATTTTCAACATTATCCTTCAAACTCTGATCCATAATCACATCTACATCATTTTTAACATGACTCATACTAATATACCATAATTTAAATCTTAAACTATCAATATCTTTAGCCTTTTCTACAACCCATTAATTTCTTAAATGCATAGAATATTGTGAATGTAGAAATTTAAAGAATGTAAGCCATATGTTTTCATGTCAAAATAAATCAAGAGAAAACTTAAATTCTTTAACTCTTTATTATCATCTTTTTAGTTGTCTTAATTGATGATATCAAGAGGATATAGAGAATTTGAATCATGAAAACATTAATAGCATCTTAACTTCATGAATGCCTTGAACTTTGAAACTATTTATTCTAAAAAAAAGAAAGTCATTAATGTGTATATTTTCTCTCCAAACAGTGTAAATGAAAAACAAAATATGTTATTTTACATATAAATCAATGGAGCTTATGACACTCACTCCATCCAACTTAGACTTTGTTTGGGTCGGTTTATTTACTGCTTCTTAAGGCAGTTTTTTTGTACAAAAATTTAAATTTTTGTACAAAAAATCGTTTAAAAATTCAGTAAGAAAGCTGTCTCAAACGAAACCTTAATCTCAAACTTCTGACCATTCTAAAGGATGAAGAATCAATGGAACTCCTTGAGATGGTCTCAATGACAACATAATCTCTGGTGAGTGAACATAAGTTGGTGAGATGGATATAGAAAATTTGCAAAGAATAAGACTCAAAACAATCTTATATTCCATCAAAGTCAAGTTTCTTCCTATGCAAATTCTTCCTCCAAATCCAAAAGGCATAAACCCCATTCTATGTTTGCATCCTCCATTGATGCTATCTTTGAACCTCTCTGGTTTGAACTCATTTACATCATCACCCCAAAGCGTTGGATCATGATGCATCCCAACTACATCAATCCACATATTGGTCCCCTTTGGTATGGTGACTTCTCCGACAACAACCTTTTCTTTTGCTTGTCTTTGCACGTTCGGTGCCGGCGAATATAGTCGAAGAATCTCATTCCACACCCATCCCATCTGCAAATCATAAACCATACAGTGAATTAGTAAATCAAAATATGTCAAAACTTAATATTATTGGAGTTTTTATAGTCATTGTTGTCATTTTATTTATTATTAATACCATTTATTTATTTATTTTGTTGAAAAATACTATGCATCTTAGCCATTTTCATAATTATAACTAAAGTTTCGTTTGAGACGACTTTATTAATGTTTTTAAAGCAGTTTTTTAATACAAAATTTTTAATTTTTGTACTAAAAAGCTGCTTTAAGAAAGAATAAGAAAGTTATCCCAAATGAAACCTAAATAAATGTAAGTATGTTATTATATCTAATTTCTTTGTTTTTCCACTTCAATAATCATCCAAATGATCTAATCTTTTGATTCTTAAACAAATTAAATTAATCTCATTTCAAATGTAGAAAATTCTTATATATACCTTAGTTAACTTTGCAAGCATGTTAGAGTTGAGTGGTTCTCCTCCTGAAACCTCCTTAATCTCCTCCCTAAGAGCCTTTTGCCACTCTGGATAAAGACCCAGCAACAGAAGAGTCCATGTGAGAGCTAATGCAGTCGTCTCATGCCCACCAAAGAAGAAAGTCTTACACTCATCAACAAGCACTCTACTACTTAGCTTCCTCTCAGTCCTCTTCATCTTCTTGTAATCGTTTCTAGCTAGAAGAAGACCAAGCAGATCCTGCCCTCCATTACTGCTCTCCGAGTTCTTCTCCATCCTGGAGTTTATAATTTGTAGTAGAAGCTCATCGATCTCCTTACCAAGTATCCAAGCCTCATAAGATTTCTTGGGAGATAGAATCTTGCTGAAGGGAACTCCAACAAACCTGTTTGATTTGAATAGCATTGATTGCATGGATTGTAGCTTCTCAAATACCTTCTTACCATTCTCTTCGCTTATGCCAAAGCTTGTTTTAGCTATTATCTCAGCTGCGTTTCTAGTAATGTCTTTCTCAACATCCATCTCATGGATCCCCATGGACATGAATTTGCGCCATCCATCCAACATGGTTGTGGTGGAATCCACCATCATGCCAAACATTGCCTGCATATACATAAAAATGATACATGTCAACATCATTATATATCCAATTATACCATCATCATCATATCATCATCATCATATCATTCTGCATGCACGCATGTTGTTTACATGCACTACAGGAAAATGTCTCACTACAGGAAAATGTCTCATTATCGACGGATTTTCTCCGCCGTTAATGAGATACATCCAACGGAAAAAAAAAAAGATTTCTATTGAATTTCCGACGAATTTGCATGCAACTGTATTTCGCGCGTCGAAATAAATTTTCCAATGGAATATTTTCGTCATAAATATTTCCGGTGGACGTTCCGTCACAATTCTAACGAAAAACTTGAAGTTAAAACATCGTCTTTTAAAATCATATTCCGGTGTTATATCCGCCGGTATTTCTGACGTAATTTTACGCTGGTAATTCCAGTGGATATTCCGTCCTTACATGCGTCGGAGACTTATCAACGAGTATAATCGTCGAATAAAAAGTTGGCGCTTTCGGTGTAAAATAAGCGTCGGAAATCGATATAGGATCCGTTATAATACGCCGGTATTTTTACCGTCAAAAAAATTTCGACGGAAAAGGTTCGTCGAGTTTAAATAGACCAGCGAAATATTTGTCGGATAATACACCAGAAAATACCAATGGAAAATACGTCAGAATAAACTATTGATCTTCCAAATTACAGCGGATTAGACAGCGGATAATACACCAGAAGAGAACCGGTGGAATTTATGCCGGAAAGGCCGTCATTTAATTACCGTTGAATAATCCGCCGATTCATGCACCGTTGTTTCCAACGTATTTACTTCCGCCGGAATCTCCGACGGTAATCGAAGGTTTTCCTATAGTAATGGTGTCATAACGAATGGTAGAATCATTAGAGAAATAACAATAGAACTTATGTAATTATAACAATTCATTAATGCGACTTATTAACTCACATTTAGATTGGTTGTGGAGAATGCTGGTGCGATAATATGACGATTATGGGTCCAATCATCACCATCAGCCATTATCAAACCGTTCCCAAACATTGGCTTTCTGTCATTCTTGAACACATTAGGCTTTCCCCATTTCTTTCCCAATCCTCCTGAACTCACTTTCTTGAGGAACTCAGGATCTGAAATGTACAAAAATGGCTCTGTCCCCAACCAATATATAAACACCTTCCCTGCAATATACATATGTAATCAACATTTCATTAGTCAATCAACTATATATCCATAAAAAATATTAAGACTTCGTTTGGGACGATTTTTTTTACTGTTTTCTAAAACAATTTTTAGTCACTACAAAAAATAAGGCTATCGTAGCACAATTTTTGACTTATACCAGCGGTTATACACGACACTAATGTTGTAACGACATTCCGCAATTGGTTTAACAACAAGCGGAGTAGATTTAACGAAGTGATGATTTAGCATCGATTATAATCAGTACAAACGTACGGATTTGCAGCAGTGATCATAACGTCACGAATATCTTCAAGATAAACTAATATCCATAATTATAGTGGTTATAACCGTCACAAACGTCACAATTTTTGACTTATACCATAGGTATAATAATTGTGCATCTCGTCTAAAAAATCAAAACCAAAATTTACCCTAATAGCTTATGTGCAAGCATTTCAAATGAAATTCTAGGTTAGGGGACAAACCGGCCAAAGAGAGGAAGAGCTAGGCTCGAGCGGACGGACTTTAGGCTTTGACGTAGTTGACTCTCCGATCAAAGCCCACGATCTATGCACGAAAAAATGAAAGAAATGGAAAGAGGGAGAACCGCGTGAGCGATTCCAAAGAGAAGGGGGATTGAGATGCAAGCGTCAAACCGGGTATAACAGGTGAAAGAATCTGGTTTTGGTTACAATTTTCAATCCACCCTTAACAACTGTTGCGAAAAATCATATTTTTTAGTAGTGAATTGATAAAAATTTTGTACTTAAAAGTCGTTTTAGAAAGCAACAAAAAAGTTGTTTCAAATGAAGCCCAAGTTTCATTGTATTAGAACTATAGTATGTGTACAAAAAATCATGAGAGGACAAATTAGCATATACTACTGTAGAACTAGCTAGCGATATAAGAGCATCTCCAACCGACAATCTCATTTTTCACTCCAAAATGTCATGAAACTATAAAATGCCGCAATTCATCTCCAATCGAACTTCACTTTTCACACTTTTACAGGTAACGGTCCTCTCTTCTTTCCCGCGCCAAGTTCGGTAGAGAGGTAAAAATGACGTTGGTGAACAGTGCAACGCCAATATTGGCATTGCACTATTCAGCCACAGCCAAATAGCGGGGAATTTGCGGTTCGGCTGGAGCTGACCAGGGACGTCATTCAAGCGGTTGCAGTTCCGTTGGAGATGCCCTAAGAGATATAAGACATATAAGACTATCCTATGAAGTTATTTTCCCTATGTACTCACCGTATGTTTTCCTCCATCTAGCAAAGTAAGGGAAGACTGTAGAGTGAATGTTGTGGCTAATGCAAGCAACAGGTTGTTCTATTTCAGCATCCACTTTCTTATACATTTCCGTGAGATTTCCCAAAGGGAAGGTAGGGGGGGGGCCGTCGAAGCCGCTACGGCGAAGCTGTCGCCTCACGGCGACCGGCGATAACCAAAAGAGTGAGAATATTCTGCTGAAGAAGAAAGAGAGGAAGAAGAGAAGAAGAAATCTTAATCCCAGGCAAAGAGCCTGATTAATGGTGGATTCAGAGAAAACCTCCATTATCCCTTTGTATAGCATATACAGATAGCATATCAATTCAGAAGATTTCCGGACAAAACAGAAATTACTCAAAAATCGGGCAGTACAACGGCAGTATACGGAATTTACACAATTTTCCTGAAAATCAAAATTCACCAAATTCGCACAGAATATAGATATCAACATTTTAGAACATTTATTCTACTGCACAGATAATTTCCAAGTTCACAGAAAAATCCAGTCGACTAAAAACATAGTCGAATCAAAAATACCCGGACAAAAATCTTAAAAAAATAACCAAAATATGCACACTCGGCACTTCAACAAAATACAGAAAGTTACGCTGTAGAAACTAAACCAGTCGGAAATTACGGACGAAAATCGCGAATAAAACTTAATTCCGGACAGATAATACCGCCAAAAGCGACGGTTCTGAAAATTGAGAAAGTCGGATTGTGCCTTACCTTGCGTACAGCAATTTCCTGAACAGTCTCTTTGGACGAAAACAGCTCGGCGTCGCCCGAAAATCCACTTTTCCACTTTTTCCTTCGTTTTTCTCTCTCCTCAGCTTTTTCTCTCTCTTCAAAATATCTCATTTCTATATATATCCAGACTGATCGTCCTGGACGATCGAGCTTCGTACCGGACGATCCATGAAGAGAGGAATTCCGTCCAGACGAAAAATGACATATCGTCCCTGGCGAAGGGTTCACGGGAGAATTTTCGTCCAGACGATCCAATTTTCGTCCCGACGAATCATACAACCAAAACTGATTTTCTGCACAACCTGTACCGATCGTCCCGGACGATCCAACTTCGTCCCGGACGAACCTGGAGCAAAAACTGATATTACACTTGTGGTTTTTTTCCTTTTAAGGGTTTTCCACGTAAAAATTTTGGTGTCACTCATGACACTCACACCTCTTCTCTTTAACTGTGTGTGTGCTGGATTTTCGTACAAAGCTAAGATGTTAGATTTTATATATCTCTACCGCCACGAATGTTCCAGTCCGCAACAGATCTTATATTCTATGTGTATGTTCCATTAATTAATTAATTCTTACATGCAAGTGGATATAATTATTTTTAACATTTAACCAGCAATTAAATCTTATAATTAATATTATTAAAATTTAGATTATGATAAGAAATTCTAAGAATATAAGTATATTATTGAATAATATAGCGTTATATTTTGAAATTTAGGTGAAGCAAGAGCACGGTGCATGTACTAAAAAGACCTTAGTCAAGCTACTAGAAAGACCTAAACCAAAAGCAAGGGTGCAAGAATGGATAAATTATTACGTGCGGTAATCGAATTGTTCAGAGGTCAATCAGGACGCACCACGCTACCTGATACAAAGCGTACATAGTATATTGGCGTGGTGCACCCTAATTGACCTCCGATTACCGCTCGTAATAATTTTGTGCAAAAATGACATATTACAGTTGATGGATGCCTTTAAGAAAATTAGGATACTTTATCGATATTTAATATTGATATATAATCAAAAAGTTATCTTGATCGAGCACGAATCTTGAGGAAAATTCACATTAGGAGCTTCCAAAATTAAATTCAGGGCCATTCGAACTCTGATTCCAGCAAACTTATAGCCGAACTGAACGTCTCGAAAGACAACTCAACGACACCAAATTCGATCCAATCGGAATCCAAATGCACTCAAATAGAATCGAAGCACATTTAAAAGGTTTAAAGCCTATGGCTATGAGAAATCCCTCCAATTAAACGTGCATGACCTTTCTTCAACAGCTAAAATAAAACCAAAACAACAGTCAACAAAAGAAAAAAAGAATGTTGAAATATATAACTTTCAATGAAGTTATGGCAGAAGTTCTTTATGCTCTTTTAATATATTAACCCCCCCTATATATAATCACAACAATCATGTGGGATAAGGAAACTCTGTGCAGCAGTTGGATCATTCAATGAACATTTCCTCTCTCTCTCTCTCTCTCTCTCTCTCTCTCCTCTCTTCTTCTGTTTCATGGTATAAATAAAGCTGTGGAGACTCTTATGAACAATCAGATATGAGAGAGATATAGGATATGTTTGAGATGGTTTTCTTGCTGCTTATTAAATCAGGTTTTTAGTACAAAAGTTAAATTTTTTGTGCTAAAAAGCTGCTTTTAAAAGCAGTAAAAAAACTGTTTCAAATGAAATCATAGTTTAATTAGCTCTCTATATAATTCTATTAAGTTCATATGGTTCATTAGCGCGCTATATACAAAGGTTGGAGATGGAGAACTCCAAATGGATCTCATTGATCTCTGTATGATCTATATGAGAGAAACATAGAGAGAGATCATGAGATCCAATTGGAATTCTCCGTCTGCTGCCATTCTCTTTCTAGATCGGAGGAATTCATAAATTCTCGTATGGCAGCAATGGATTATTTATTTATTTATTTTGATTTTTTCTCTTAATTTTGCATGGCAAAGAGCTGCGTTCTTAATTTCTAGAAAGGGTTCCTCTTATAAAATTTATAAAAATTTTAATTATTTTTGCAATTTTTATATCATTTTTAGCCTCTAAATTTCATTTAAATGTCCTCAAAATTCATTATTTTTTCTTTTTAAATATTATAAATATTTTCATTTTTTATTTAGTATTTTATGTGGAAATAACAGATTTACAGTCGAAAATATCTTTAAAAAATTAATATAAATATCTTTAAAGATAAAATTGTAAGCTGAAAAATTATTTAAATGTCCTCATTTTTTTATAAATTAATAAAATATTAAATGTCATTTGAATTTTTATATTAGTTAATTCATGTTGTTCTAATTTGTGTAAGCAAATGTTGATTTCAATAATGTGAAATTAATAATTATTGTATAAATTCAATAATGATTAAATTAAATTAATTTATTTGTAAATTTTATTACTAAAATAATTAATTTTATTTTAAAAAACAATGAAAATTTGACTTTAATTAAAATTATAAAGTCATTGATAATTAAATTTAAATTTAAGAAATATAAATTATTTAAATATATTTCAGTATTTAATTGAATTTTAAAGGCTTCACAAGTCTTGCAACGAACAACTTGGCCGGCTTCTTAGGGTTTTTTGGGGGAAGAAGTTTGTGATCCTGAAGGGAGAAGATGTCGAAGAAGAACAACTTAGAGAACAGGAGGAAGCAACACAGATTCGATCTCCAAAGTACAAGCCATGTCTTGAGTGATTTCTTCTTCTTCTTTTTCTTCTTTTCCTTCTTCTTCTTCTTCTTCTTCTTCGTCTTGTGATTTTAAAAAAGGAATATAACACAACTTTTAATTCGTGGTCTGCGATCTTGGCCAATATTAGGAGAAAAGCTGGAGAAGGAAAAAAGGTTGAAGAAAATTCAGGCGAAGAAGTCTAAGATGAAGGTATGTTTTTGGTACTCTCAAGTTCGGAGTTCGGGATTATATTTTTCGTTTCGTTTTGTTGCAATTTATTGAATTTTGGTTTCTATTGATTTACTGTTTGTTATTTTGGTGGTTATATAACTCTATATTTTCCACCATAAGAACGAATTCGTGCTCCTTTGTCAACTGAAGGGGGAATCTAATTTTATATATAATTCAATGACGAAAATTTTCTTTAGATGTACATATCCTAACTTTAGGTTTAGACAACAATCTGCTTATTGCACAATTTAAAAGAATTGTGGTAAAATTACCAGGCAACCTTGTGCAATGCACATGAGAGTTAAGCCATGAAAAAGTATATGAAGTAATTGGATGAACATCGTACTTATTTCTAGTATAGAGCATTTCATGATTACATCTTTTTTTTGTTTTTAATGAAAAAGATAGGGATACCCTTTCTCATTAATTGAAAGAAAAAGAATATGAAAAGAAAATTACTAGATAAAAAGACAAACCGCTAAAGAAAACAATTCAAAAAGCTAATTTTTTAGTAGCTTAAAAAATACTGATTGCCTTTCATGGAAAGTTTGAAGCTTTCATTTTCTTTAAGATTTGATACATTTTGTTTCCATTAAATGATTCCATTCAAATGTAAGCTTCTGATAAAATGTTAGCTGAAATTTTTTTATTATGCTTGATGGTATTAGCAATGCAAATGATGTTGCTTTCATTCCAAATGTTTCAAAGATTGAGGAGCAGGAGGATTTCCAAATCTATCTAACCTTATTTTTGATAAAAAGTTGTATCCATAAAGAGAAGGTAGTGCTTATTGGAATATATTTATTTGAAACCCAAAATGAGGGAGAAGATATGTCCAAATGCTGAAAGAAGATACTCATTTGAACTTTGAAGAAACAGTTAAGAATCATCCTCTGGGAGAGAGTTGTGTTAGACAGTTTGGAGAAATCATGACATGCAAATGTGACGGAAATTTTTTGGTCAAAAAATTTTTTTATATGTATTATGCACCCGCACCCAAAGAATCTTCAAAGGGAGAAAGACCTTTCATATCAAGAATAAGGAGTGATACAAACGCCATGCATTAAGAAAGTATATAAAGATCTAACTTAGCAAAGGCCTCTTGGAAAGAGCAACTGCATAGGAAAGTTGATGATTGAATTCAGCTGATCCAGAATTCAGCTGATCCAGTTCAACATACATTGGTCATTACAAAATTAATTAACTAGATAAAAATGCATCATCCATTTTTGGTGAAGATGCCAACCAGAAGGTGGAAAAAGAGACTTCATCAATCCATTCAACTTCCAAGCCATCTTAAAGAGATTTGGAATTTTGGATGCAACTTTGCTAAAGGCAAATTATGGATCCAAACATATTTACAAAATGTGAATATAGCTTTGTTATTGATATGCGAAGGGATGAGATGAAAGAAACAAAACTTAGAACCTTTCCTAACATCCTTAATAAAATGAGAAACATGAGACTATACCCTTTTGTGGGCTATAAAATTTATGCACGGCTCTTTCATGAGATTGTTTTTGGATCAAATTTTTAGAAGATAAAGTAGGCATCGAACAAGTCGTTACTCAAATATTTTGTTCTTATTTTGTGATGACTATATGATTTTGTTTGAGTTATCTCTTAAATGTAATCCTCTATGGGTAATTACCCCTCTCAATCATGAGATAGAAATTTTGATTAAATCTAGTTATTAGGGGCTAAATATTTAGCTTATAATAGAGGCATTAATTGGTTTTGAAAATAGAAAATATAGCACCATTTCCTTAGAGCATATTGTGGTTGAAATGATGCTGAACTCGATCAAGATCATATGATTTCATTGTCTTGAGTTGTCATAGATCCAAAGTTACTTAGTTAGAAGAGGTAATCAACCCAACCTCATCTTAGGGGATCTTATAACTTTCTGGTGGATGTTTGCCTAATGGGATAATTTTAGATTCATGGTCGATTACTTGATTCACATTTCACAATATGCGATGATGAAAATTTGCTTGATTAGACTACTAGAAAAAAATTAAAAATACTCTTGAATCACAATTATTTTAAAATCATCGCGCAAATATTTATCACAGGGTTCAAGTCTTGTTGACTCTACTATTGTGAAGTTGAGGATTGGACTTGGAAAGTAGGACTTACGATCCTGCTCTATAGGCAGGTAGCCCTTTTGAGAATGTACAACATGTTGATGAGTTGAAGTATCAGCTTGAAAGAGAGTTTTGTGAACTTCAAAATGATTGCTTGCTTTTTGAAATAGTTGCACAATTCTCGTAATGAATATGATTTGAATTTTGTGCCTTTTGTGCATGGAATGTTTGTTGATGTTAGGTTGAATCACTAGCACATTTATTAGAGCCATCATATTGTGATGTTGAGGATTGGACTTGGAAAGTTGGACTTACGGTCCTACCCTATAGGCAGGCTAGCCCTTTTGAGAATGTATAGCATGTTGATGAGTTGAAGTTTGAGTTTGAAAGAGAGTTTTGTGAACTTCAAAATGATGACTTACTTTTCAAAATTGTTGAGCAATTCTCGAAATGAATATGATTTGAATTTGTTGCCTTTTTAATTGCTATTTTTTTAGAGTATATGATGCGGGACTAAGTATGCTTTTAGATGAATGCGATAAGAACTTGCACGATTTGATAAGAGCAAATAACAATTAAGACTATTAGCCACTAAACGATAATATAAAATATAAGAGGGGTAGCGACGCTTAGGCCAAATCACATGCTAAGCATTTTAATCATCAAAACAATTTAGAATTTCAACAACATACAAATTAAGTAGCTATTCAACAAAAATCCCTACGTTAACAATGATAGTAGAAACATAGAAAGTAAACTCAATTCCTACGATTACTAAGCGAAGACAGAGAGCGAAGCACGAATCCTTGCGATTCAATCACCACCTACAAGATTAGTGGATTAAGAAGATAAATGAATAAGGAATAAGTTTACCCTTGTCGGGGTCCAGAAACAATTTGCCACTGAACGTTGGCAAGTTGGTCTTCGACGGCTTCAGAAAGTGTGAATATGATGTAGTCCACGTATTCTTCGTCAGAGTTGTCGGTTTCCGGGTTGAAGTCGAAGGTGGAGTGGAGAATGTTGATGTTCCCTTGTTCGTCGTAAGCGAATCCAGAATCAAGTTCAGGATCGGCCATTCATTGGTTTGAGGTGTCGACGACGATCGTTGTTGCTTCCCTTGAGGACTCACTAGAGAGAAAGAAGTTTCTCTCGAGAGTTGAAGGGGAGAAGAGGAGGGAGCTGGCCGGCCAAGGGTGGGAGCATGGGAAAAGAAGTTTGGTTCAGATTTCGTGGAGGGAATTTAATTCAAGCAACTCCTTAATTAGTCCCCTTGATTGAAAGGAATTAATGAAGGGAAAGAGAGAGGGGCAACGGGTAAGAGAGAGGGAGAGGGGTTTAATTTAATTCCAATAGGAGATACTATCTTTTGGGAAGAAAAAAATAGGTGGGGGATGGGGATTTCGGCCAAGAGAGAGGATGGGGGATTTGAATTATTTCCAAGAGTAATTTGATTTTTGGAAACAATTCCAATGAGGACTTGAATGGGGCCGGTGGCATAGGGGAGGGAATTGGGGAAATTAAACAAGGTTTAATACTTTCCTAATGGGAATTCTCTAAATAGGATTTAGGATTTATTTCCAATCCCAATCAAATTAATTTTGAACTTGATTTTGGAAACTTTCCAAAAATAGAATTCTATTTTTGGAAATGATTCAAATTCAAATTTGATATGGAATGATGGAAATTATTCCCTTCCAAAGAGAACAAGTAAAATAGGAAATAAGTGATGGGGGAATTGCGAATTTGGAAACAAGGGAGAGATGGAGGAAGCGACGGCTAGGTGGATGGACCGTGGGTGGGGAAGGGAAGAGGGGTCTGGTGAGATGGGGTTTTGGGTGTTAGCCAACGGCCGAGGGTGGAGCAATTAATTGGATGATGATGGGGCTTTCGTGCCGACGGCTTGAAGTGGTGAGGGGGGTGGTGGGCCGGTGGTGTAGGGTGGAGGGAAGAAGGGGGAAGACAAAATACAAAGAACTAATCACTAGCTCGGGCTCTTCCAAGGTTGGTGGGTGATACGATTCCCTCTCCAAGGGTTCTCTCTCAAGCTCGCACAAGATTTCAAACACGAGGAAAATTTTATCATTCATTCATCATGAAAAGAGAACATAAGGGCTATATATAGCCTCATACAAATGACTAAAAAATAAAAGACGACAATGCCCTTTGGGTTTACACATGACCACCCTTAAGTAAGGGGTAAAAGCGGAAAACAACAAAAGCAAATATAAACCTAAAATAATAAAATACTAATACATATGACAACTTAAAAATACATCGGCACGATCGTGCCCGTATCGTGGCCGTAGATCGGCGGCCACGCCTCTGATAGACTTTCCAAGCTCTGATGTCCCCATCAATATATGCATGCCTTCTAAAATAATTGGACAACTTTTAATTTATTTAGATTCAATTGTTCATACATTTTTCATACATCTTTTCATTTTGAGATTTATTAATAGCATACTATTTGCTCAAGTGTGCATGTTATAGTTTCGATTGTGACTGTCATGAGTTAGATATTTAATATTTTTTTACATGCTTAAATTAGTTGAGATTTTGTTTACATTGAGTCAACGTTTTGTTCTAGTATGTCCCACGATGAAATTTTTAAAATAGAGGGTTGTTGTAGTTCTTTTTGGCATTCCAATTAAGTTTATTTTGTGTTCTTATAGTTCTAGAGGTACTGAGTGGGTTTTGTTTATTCCCATGGGCTAGCTATGAAGTCTTCTATTAGTTCTGTTATGTTCTTGTAAGATAATTATTGCATATTTGAAGCATTCATTTTGCAACAAACATGATTTTAAGATAATTATTGCACGAGAAATTTTGCAACATAATTTTTTTTTCTCGATGTGTTAAAAAAAGCAAGTATAAGGCTTACCCGTTGCATCA